TCTGGCCTGCAGCAAAACTCTCCTACCAGGTGTTGGTCTCTTCTTTGATCAGGTTGCTCTGTTGTTAACTCTGTTGCATTGTGCTTTAGATAACTGAGGGACTGGAGGTAGGGTATGCATTTTGCGGGTCCTCCTGGCACAATGTGAGGGCTGAAAGGTGGCAGTGTTGACTATAGGCAGGGCTTGTGCTTCCTGGGTCCAGCAAGGGGCCCAGGAGGCATCAGCATTGGCTGGGAGTAGGGCGTGCATTTCAAATTTGGCACTGGAGCCACCTTATAGTCTGCAGTGGCAATATGCAGGTTTATTTCTGCACTGCCTGTTGATTGGTCTGTCTGTATGCTGGTGACATACTACTTTGATTATTGTGATGCTGTGGCAATTTTCGTATCAGGAAAGGTGGCACTGCAAATTTGGTTCCTCAATCTACTTTTGTCTTTATTCTTTCAATATTTTTGGTTTGGGCCACTTGACAGTTTGTTCATAATGTGTCAAAGTAAATTTTCTTTGAAATTGTCCAATTTGGAGTTTAACAAACATTTATGTTGTATCTTCCATCCAGTGTACAGTTTTTATTCATTATTTCTTAAATGATCTCCTTGACCCTTCTTTTCTTGGTTGTTCTTGGAAATCATAAAATTCACATTTTTTTCTGCTTGATTATGTCCCACAGATGTATTAAGCTCTTCTCACTTTTCTTCAAATCTAATTTTTCTCAGAACAGATTTTGTTAATATTTTTCTTTGAATAGGTCATACTTTTTTTAATGTCTTTTTTTTTTTTAAATGGGAAGCTAGACATTCAAATCTTATTAAGTATTACTCTGGAGATCCAAGTCTCCTCCTTCCCTAGAAATTGCTGGTTTCAGTTATATTTTGTACTGTTATAGACTGTCTCAGAACAGGAGGATCAGGGTAAACCTAAAAGCCTCACATGAAATGTCAGGTAGCAGTAAAGAGCACAAGGTCCCAGTAATTAGAGATCAGGTTCCATCCTGCGCCCTTGGCCCCTGAAAGCTGTGTGCTGCTTGCTGCACCTGGGTTGGATGTTGGTGGAAGGGTAAGTGCTACTATTCTAACAGCTGAATTGACTGAAACTACCCACATTTAACCATTCAAGGGTTCCCCTGGAGATTGAAGGCCACAAAAGAGACTCTTGAGTTCTGTTGTATTAGGCAGGTACCTTTAGCATAATTATTGTCTAAATGGGAAAATGGATTTCTGGCATTCTTTACTCCTTTATTTTTCCAGAATCTCCTTATTTGTTTTTATGATTTCTGTCTCCCTGTTGATACTTTCATTTGGTTTGCGTATCATTTTCCCAATTTCTTTTAGCTTTTTGCCAGTCTTTCACTTTACCTCTGTGAGCCTGCTTAACACAGTTCTTTTAAAATCATCCATTATCTAGTAAGCCAATGCTTTTCTTCAGGGAGCGCTATGAGGGATTAATTTTATTCCTCTGAATGGACTGTGTTTCCCCAATTTTGTTTTGTTTTTGTTTTTAGTATGCCTTGTTGTCTTCATTTAAATGTGGGCGGACATGTGAAAAAACTCGTTTCTCCCAGTTCTTCCAGGCTTGTGTGAAGCAACTTCACTAATTAGCAGGCACCTGTGTTTCAGGATTAGCCCGGAGTAAAGGCTTAAAGTAGTTTCAGTCCTTCCTGGGCGTAGGTGTCTCTCTCCCCATCACCAAATTTCTCGTCTCAAGTTTCTTTTGGGGCTCGCATGTTCTATTGTATCCTCTGCCCTCAATTTCTTGCCCTAAGACACCCACAGTTCTATATTCCCTGCAGTTCTATATGACATGATGCCTGTCACTGCCTTCCACTAAACTGTGATAAAAACTGAGGTCTGAGTTCATAGAAGACAAAAACTAGTTCCTGTAATAACCCGCAAATAGATTAGAATGCTACAAATATTTTCTATTCTGTTCCTTTTTGAATGTATAGTGTCAAATGAGCCTCTCTTAACCTCCCCGTGCCTTGGTGGGGAGGGGGTGGGGGAAAGGCAAGTAATCCCATGGGATTTCTATATTGGTGGTGAAAATCTAAAGATAAGCAATTGTAAAGAAGAGTTTATGGCTAGTTCATTAGTCAGACCCACAACCTGAGTGGAACATCCTACCATGTTTGGTGCTGTTCCCTGTATCTTTCAGCCTTCCACCTAACCTCTTAAATTCCTGTTTTGTAGTTTTTAGAATCTGCACCTATATGATGCATCCTTCTCATACTTGATAAGCAATAAATTCAGATTTGTTTTCAAACAGGTTCACCCTTATTTACTTGGTACTTTACCTTCCCTCCATCTTCACAGCACCTTCACAGCTACTATTCTATTTGGCTCTTGCAGCTCAGTTAGAAAGTTTTATCCGTGGCTTTTTCCTAATGATGCAAATATTCTACACACTGTGGAAAGAGTTCATATAATTCTGTAATATAATGGTTAAACTATGAAAATCAATATATATTTTGAATATACTTGTTCTTCCATCTATATCTCAAATTCAGAGTATCTTGTTTTCTCTTTTACTGAAACCCTTGCAGAGGGTTCAGATCTCTCACTTAGCAATATGATACACAGATACAAAAGAAAAACAGAGAATATTCTGCAGATGAGGAGCTATAAGATGACTCAGTGCTTTCTGTGAAACAAAGGGTCATGAGTACAAAAGTTCAAGGCTTTTATGAGTATCAATGAGGGAGGTGGGTGGGAGTCATGGCAGAGTGTTAGGGAAAAGAAACTTTGCAGGCATTGGCTCTAAGGAGAAACAGAGCAGTTTTGTACCAGGCATAGAGGCTCTCCAACTAGCATTCCAATAGATAGCTTGATGTATATAAGGCTAGTACCTTTCCTGCCAGGAAGGTGAGTCCATGGCTTCAGCTGAGATGATATCCTCATAGCTTAGCCCTGGAATCTCATAGGCCCCACCTATTCCAGCTATGGTGGTGGTGGTGGGGGGAGGACAGTTCTCACCTGTGCTGTAACGAGACATGTGGGCATCTCAGCTGAACTTGATCATGTTCTTTTGGCCATTAAGGGAACATCTGCTTTTATATAGTGGTTCTGCATATCTCAGTGAATAGAGTTGAAGTAAATGTCAGGGAAAGTTGGAGGCACGGGGCTTTGTTTCTCAGGAAAGTGCAGTTGGGAAGTTTCCACATTCCTTTCATTCTATAAATGTTCTCTGGAGCATTATAATTTTAAACTTAGAGGCAAGTTAGTATAATAGTCAAAAGACTGCCTATGTGCCCATTGCCACAAGGTATTTCTTGGCTTTCTTTCATGCATCCGTATAACTCTTTGCTCCAAAAGGGAGAAACTCAGCTCCCACTCTACTATTCCTTTGCTAATTGGTCCAACCCCGGTATGCTGCAATGAGAAGTATTTTACAGATGTAACCTGTACTTCTGCCAGTAACAACTTCATTAACTAGAGTTCAGTGCTGACAGTTTTTTAAATATTAGATTTTCTAGAGTAATTGATTTTTCAGTCAATACTATGTTAATTAAGCAAAGGTTGTTTATGTAACACTAGGGATACACTGATTTTTGCCTTGAATCTAAATAGAACTTTCCTTAATGATGCAACTAAGTATTGTCTTTTCAAGTATATTAAGTACATTCTCTTTACTCTTTTGACCACAGAGACATTCTCTCATAGCATTTTCAATACTTCTGATGATAGTATTTTTGGTGCTAGATACAGAGTTAAGGACAGTACTTTTATTATTTTATTTTTAATCTTTCTCTGTTTCATTCTAGTTTGATCAGTAAATATAATTTATATCATGATAAAATATGACTCCTCAGTGTTAAGATCTACTTCTTATAGTGAGAGACTTACTATGATTGAGTCTTGAGATCTCTTATCTAGGTGACTTCAAGTACAGGCTGAATGATAATCTTTCAAATATTAAGTTGTGAAAGAAATTCTACATAGAGTAGAAAATCATACAATGTATGATTTATTAAAATAAACTCTGAACTCTCTGTTTTTTAAAAGAGATGTATAGAAGGAAGATAGATTAAGTAGAACAAAATGCATCCTTTATCTAGGTCTCACATTTTTCAAGACTAATTTACTGTGCTCTTAGTATACATGTATGTTTTCTCTTTAAAATTAGTCTTTGTTTTACTGAGAGGCACCAAAGATATGATAAGGAAGACTTCTGAATATATTTTTAGGACCCACAATGACTGAAGATTATATGCCAAGTTCCTATATGAACATGTGAAAGACTTAAATGTAGAAATTTAAATGGCTGTTGAATTTTTTAACTGAATAGTACCTATATCAATTGGTTTCAAAATGGCATGATAATGTTTGGATTCTAAAAAAATTGAATGAAATATATAATAGTATTTCATTATGAAATACATCATAGTGTTATTTCATTTGGGTTATCACATGAAGAAACAAATGTTAGTTAATAATATTTAGCAATATTGCCTGCTGACAAAAATTCTAAAGATAAGCAAAACAAATCCTCATAAAATTAAGCATATGTTTAGATAATGATGATGATGATGGTGATGATAATTCATCAATCTCAGGGCCAAAAGAGAAACACTGAGACAACATGAAGTCCTTCACTAGGTTTCCACTTGTTATTCTTTTCAGTGCTCCTCTTAATATCAGGTAAGTGACTTTAACTTACATTGGATAAGCTTGATACTTGTTGGTAGCATTCCCATATAGGTAACTCTGAATTTATAATAATGCCTTTCCTGGTTCTGCTAACACTGGACGTATCCTTTGTAGTCATATTATATTTAATAAATTTTATATAAATTTTAATAAATTTTATATTGGCTCTGATCTCTTTAGTACATTTCTGGTTTTAATATGAAAATTTAAAGCAATGTACTTATTTCTGAGTAAAATTTCTCTACATGAAAAAGGCACACATATACAGAAGTGATTTTTCTTTATTATAGGATCATACAGAATAGCTTTGGAAATACTTTGATACTTGAAGACCCATACATTTTCAAAACATGCAGAGTATACTATTTCATTTAATTGGCTTTAAAACACTCCAGAAGGAAATATAGTGGCATTAGTGAATAGCAAGCTGAAACGTCAGCAACAAAGAGTCTACGACCTCACAGGTTGTACCATGCAGTAGAGTTCTGAAAAACCAAAGAACAAATTTTTGTTTCTTTCAACATTTAACACACAAACAATAGCATTTCTGAAACGTACAGTTTTATACATTACTTGGTACTGTTACATTATTTGCATTTTTAAAATGCATGGAATCTTTCCTAAAAGATACTGGATTTCAAACCCATATGATCTTTCTTTTGATAGTAACATAGACTTCCAATGGCAGGAAGCTTCATGGACCAAGGACGATCTAGAAGCTATCAATATACTGAATTCTGGTGATCAGTACCTTTCATTCATTGCTGCAGTGTTCCGGCATTGTCTTAAAAAGTCATATCTCCTGCATTTCACTGATTGCCTGCACTCTAGTAAAAATTCCAGTTTGTCACTTCAGTGTTCACTGACGTAGATGAGAAAATGGTATTTTGAGAACTATTTTCTAAATCAAGGTAGGGAACTTCTTTCTGTAAGTATGTAATCAACCGGTTGGCTATAGATAATTCTTGAACTGTGCTTTCCAACATGGCAGCCATAAATTACAGATGACAGTTATGCTTTAAACTGTAAAAAAATAAAAATCTAGATTTTCACTTCAACCACATTTTGACAGCCTGAGCCACATAAGGCTCATAGCCCCATACTGGAGGGCAGAGCCATAGAACACATCTGGTTCCACGGAAAATTCTGCTGAAGAGTGCTGAAGAGAGATATTTTCCATAATTGCTATGAAAGAAGACAGTCTAACAGGAGGACCATCTAAATGGAACTAACTGAGATGAACTTGGTCCTTGGATGCCCTCTTCCAGTAGTTATAAGATTTGGATAAAAGAAGTCACTTGCAACAAATTTGCATGTAGGCTTTGTCATGAGTTAATTCTCATCAACTATAAGCTTTATGGTTGCATATTAAGAATCACATTTCTGAGAATCTTGTTTAATTGGTCTGGGAATGAGAACTGTGTCCTATTTTGTAAATAAGTTTGAGAAGCACTAAATTATCCACAAATTAGCTCATTGAACCACATAAACATTTCTGGAGGGATACAGCTTTAACTGAAATTCAGGTGTTTCAATGTTCTAAGGAATCACAGGTGTCTAATGGGAACTAACATGTATGTGACATAGTTATCTGGGTAGTCAACGGGGACAATCTAAGAAGTTGGAAATTTAGATAACCAGCAATCATAATCCATGACAAAGGGCAGGCTGTCTGCTCTGCTGAACTAAAATTTAGGTTGGAAAGAATACTACGAAGCAATGTAATCCCACCTTATTCACAACTCAGTTTTGGAAATTTACAGTAACAACTCATTTGTGCATATAGACTCCCTTAAATCCTTACAGAAATTAATATAGTTCATTATTATGTTATGTCTGGAGTATTTCAGAGAATAATCAATCATTAAAGAATATTCCACCTTCCATTCTCACAAGTTGAGGTTAAAAAAAAAGTATTCCACTTATTATCTCTCCAGTGACAGTTTATACTCAGTTCTGATTATTTATAAAATAAGTAGCTCATTTTTATTCTGAAAGCATGTAGATATCTTTAAAATGACAGGTTATGGGGGAAGGGAGCTATTTCAGATGTTTATTTCATCCTATATTGTTTAAGTAAACATCTAGTTTTTCTTGTTAATGTTTGACATGAAACAGAGCTATAAATACTTGTATTAGTATTATTGTTTATTGCTCTAATTCTAGTTAGGGAAAAAGAAATACTCAAGATATAAAAGAATATTTTGCAAGTTGAAATATCTATGTCAGTGATAATTCAGGCTGGATTTAGGAAAATGTCATCCAGTAATACTGTGGCTTTCTAGGGAACAGTAAAAAATTGATTAAACTGATAAAAATTTTATTTTAATGTTATAAAGCATTTGGTTGGCAAAAATGAAATGTTCCAAATTCTTGGCAGCTATATTTTATGGCACTATAATTTCCAGAATATGCTTTAATACAATATTATTGTCATGCATCTTTACTTCCTTAGCCTTTGACGGGTTGTGTTTCCACACTGACATTTTGAATAGGGTGAATATTTTCACTATTTGTGATTTAAAAATAATTGTTCACTTTTTGAAACCAATCAATGTGGCGGGGGAGCAATGAGAAGTGCTGGAATTCGCCTGCTGCTGCCCACGATCCCAACCTACCTTGGTTATGCACGGTCTCCAGCAGCGTCCACCGGCACACTGCTCACTGAGCATCACTGTCAACAGGTGTCGGTGCTTGCAACTTTCGTTGCTGCGTCCATGAATTAGCTCATGTTTATCTTGCTCAGAATTCCCTTCACTGTTTAAAGGATGGACGTGGTAGGGATTTTTGTGTAGCATTATTTACCACTTTAAAAAAAGTTGGAAAACATGGTTTTACTTAATTTCACTATATTTGAGATAATTTATTATATTTGACTATGTAAACAGGATATATGATTGATATATTGCTTTGGAAATGGAGCTCTACTCCATACACCTAACTGGTTACTGTTTTTATAGAAATGATGTTGGGGTGTTAACTTAGAGCAGTGCAAACACAGGGCAATGATTCTCCACATTTAGCACAAGAACTTGTGGGACAAGACGGCTGGGCTTGAGTCCCAGTGCTGCTGACTTGGTAGGTCCAGGTGGAGCCTGAGAACCTGCATTTTCAGCAAGTTTTCAGCGGTACCTGGGTGCCAGTTGGAGACCATACTTTAAGAAGCATTGCAGGAGGAATTTAAAAATTTCGAGTCCATTGGAATTTTGCTTTTAGACATACATAAACTATTCGTTTAGCTGGGCATCAAGGTGTACCCCTAAAATCCCAGCACTCTGGGAGTCTGAAGCAGCAGGATCCTAAATCCCAGACCAGTATGGGCAACTTGGCAATTTATTGAGACCTGTCTCAAAATAAAAAATAATAACAATGAAAAAAAGGTTGGGGTTGTAGCTCAGTGTGAAGCTTTTGGACTTAATTCCCAGTATCACTAAAGAAACATATAAATAAGCTTAATATGCATGTAGTTCTTCTAAAGATGAATCAGTTTTAAATGAGAAGCCAGTGTAAAAGAAAAAGACAAAGAGAAATTAGGGTCAAGAAGAAAATCAAGGCCAGTCCATTTCTGGGTTGAGGCCTATCCTGAAGCTGAGGGAAGTCAGGCCTTGGTAATAATGTATCTTTTGATCCCAGTGATGGTGGCAAAGCACTGTTTGTTGTATAGGAAGAAATTGAAACCGCTGAAGTCCATTTAACAGAGGCTTTGTCAAATAAACTATACTCGTGTTTTACGTTTTTTTTTTTTTTTTGAGACAGGGACTCTCGAAGGTAGTTCAGTCTGTTCTTCAGTTCACTATATGGACCAGGCTGGCCTTGAACTCATGGTGATTGTCTTGCCTTAGCCTCTCAAGCAGTGGGATTACAGGTGTGCATCACTAAATAAATCTGCACATATCCTATGGTAGGTCCAAATATAAAGAATTTTAAAAGAGTTAGGCTTATTTGGGTATTCTTGAATACCCAAATGAAAATATGAAAAAATTTTTATAGTTTTTTTGGGGGGTACCAGGAATCAGGACATCATGCTTGCCAGGCAGGCACTGTGCCACTGAGCTAAATCCCTAGCCCCTTAGCCTTTTTATACTTTAAGAAGTGGATAGGGAGGCTGAAGCTCAGTGGTCGATCACTTGTCTAGCCTGTGTGAGGCCGAGTTTGAGCTCCAGCATTGAGGAAAAAGAAAAGAAAAAGTGAAAATAAAGAAAAGATACATGATTTCTTTGAAGAAATATATACCCTTTACAATTAATAATATACTATTCACATTATACAGTACATTTCCAATTGAAAGTATAATTATATATACTTATATATGAAGTCAGTACAATAAACATTGATGCATGTTTTCTTTTAAAGCTATGCAATAAATTGTTATGACTGGTTCATCTTGAGAAGAATATGGTGAAGAAAATGTGGTTTTAATTGTTAATTTATACTTACTTGTGGTGGGTTAACTCTATCTTAAAATATCAATAATTCATAATACTACAGTTACTTTCATAAAATGGGACAATAATAAACGCTGGCAAAGGTACAGTCAGGTAAGAACCTCTGTACAGTGTTGGTGAGGCTGAAAATTGTGCAGCCACTTTGGAAAATAGTGCATCAGCTTCTTAAAAAATGTAACCTAAGTCTTTTATACAAGCAGCAATTCCATTAACAGGTGTATGTGCCAGGAAAATGAAAACATGTATGCTCACAGGAACATTTTCAAAATAGATTCTACGTGGAAATCACCCGGATGTTCACCAGCTGGTGGATGGGTAAGCACAAGGTGTTTCCTTCCATTCTATAACAAACAGAAGTCCTAATATATGTTGTGTATGCAGATGAACCCTGAAAACATTAAGACTCTGGTGTCTGATTTGGCACGTAAGAAACTTAAGTCACTTTTTAGATCCATCTAAGAGCTGTAGCCATATGCAAACTACTGTGCCTAAAGTTACCCTACAGTCAGAGACAAAGAATCACAACTTACCCAGAGCAGATGCGCGGGAGTAGAAAGCTTCCTAGGAGCGTTAAGCACAAGGAGAAGGAAACCTGGTGTAAACTGGCTAATTTGCTAGAGGGACAGAGTAGGGCCGGAGTGGGAGGAAGCTGTCTTAACAGAGCCCAACATTTTTCCAAGGGTTACCTCAAGGAATCCTGACTAGCTCTTCACAGCAAGATCAGAGAAAATTCCTTCAGATTACCAACAGAGGGAGAAAAAAGCAGATGTTTTAAAATATGCCAAGAATAATTCTGCTCTTAACCAGGCCTGCCTTTAAGAAAACCAGAGGGACTTCACCAGAGCCTGGTGGGGAAGCCATACTAGGGAAGGGAAACACCCAACTGCAGTGCTCTGGCTTTCCTGTCTCTGAAGGGGTGTGGTGGGAGCTGGAGAGCCCTGGGAAGTCAGCTCCAGGGCCTGGGCTCCCTAAAATGCTAAGATCCAATCACAGGATTACAGCGGGCTTCTTCATCAGCACATCAGTCCGGTTCTGTGGAGTAACAGGGCACTATGGCGATAAGAATACTCTACACACGGGTAGTATTTAATAAAGCTGTGGGGAAACATCCAAGCAACAGCAAAGACTGGAATCAGGACGTGGGAGAATGTTTAGCCTCTGGACATACACAGTATAAACTAACCTAACACTATAGGTAAATTTGGCTAGGATTCCCCATACATCATGTCTGACTTGTAACAAAAATGCAGTTTGAAGGCACAGAGGAAGTACTGTAACTAGACTCAGATAAAGGAGAATGTTAGAACTGTCAGATTTAGAATTTAAAACATCCAATATACTGAAGGGTCTAATACATAGAGTGGACATCATACAAAAACATACGGGCAGTATACGCACAGACATGGAAATTTTAAAAAACAACAAAAAAATCTGGATATCAAAACTGTCATACTGAAGTATTCCAAAATGGGCTAATTATTAGATGACATAGCTGAAGAATCTCTAAGCTTGAGGACATGTAAATAGAAACTTCCAAAATAGAGGAGTTAAGAGAAAAAAGACAGGAAGAGGGAGAAAAACAAAACAAAACAAAACAAAAAAGCCCAAGCAGAACAGGATATCCAAGAATTATGGGCCAACTACAAAAGGAATAAATATAAACAATGGGAAAACAAAGAGACAGAATCATGTAAAGCAGTGATTAAGAATTTGCTAGAATTAATGTAAAACACCAAACTATGGATCTAGGAAGTTCAAAGAATATAAAATAAGCTAAATACCTACAAGCAGCTGTATTATATTCCAACTGAAAGAAATCGAAAAGCCTTGAAAGACTCCAGAGTAAAACACACCTTAACTGTAGAGCAACAAACATAAAAATACAGCAGCCTTCTCGAATCATGCAAGCAAGAAGAGACTCAGAAATATTTGAAACACATAATAAACCAGATTCAGCAAGACAAACATTACATGTGAATGTTTGGAGCCTAAACAAATAAAACAACAACAACAACAACACCCAACACCACCCAAGTATGAAACTGGAAAGGAACTGTCATTAGACTATGACTCAGAAATATTTGAAACACATAATAAACCAGATTCAGCAAGACAAATATTACATGTGAATGTTTGGAGCCTAAACAAATAAAACAACAACAACAACAACACCCAACACCACCCAAGTATGAAACTGGAAAGGAACTGTCATTAGACTATAAAGAAAGGGAATAAAGACTGCAAGTGTAAGGAAGGGTAATTGGAGGTGGATAGGATCAAAATGTGTTACATATATAGATATCACATGAAAACACATGAATAATTAACAGTCAATAATAAAACATTAATAGTAATAAAAATACATTGTAAGAACTGAGAGAAACCCCCACCAACATGGAACACTATATTTTATTAAATTATTCTTCAAATATGAAGAGAAAAACTTTCTTAGAGGCCAAAAAATTGAGGGATTTTTTTTTGCCTGTAGACTTGCCCTGCAAAAAGATGTTGAAAGAAATTCTTTAGAGAAAAGTGAAAGTGAGTGAGAAAGAAAGGGGATCTGGGAAGAAATAAATGAGAGCAAAATAAAGTATTTGATTTTCTTAATCTTTATTGAGAAACAGTTTGGCCTGCTACTGAAAAGAGTAAAAATTAGGTGGCACTTACTCCCAGCACAGTGGAGTTTAACTACAAATTGCAGAAAGGCAGTGTGAAGCATCAGTCAAAAATGAAATCTCAAAAAATATTTGAGTCAGATAAAAATGGAAAGACATAGAGGGTAGCACAAGCAATGTTTAGAGGAAAATTTATAGCACTTCATGAATGTGTTAGAGAAGAAAAAAGATACAAAATTGGTCATCTAAATTTCCACTTTGGATCATTAGAAAAGATGGGCAAACCAATTCCAAAGTAACTGGAGCAATGAAACAGTAAAAATGAGAGCAAAAGTCAGTGAAGCTGAAAACAAGAAGAGAGAAAATCAACAGAATCAAATCTCTCTGAGGATATTTGAGCCAGACATAGACATGAAATATTAAAATACAAAAATAAGAAACTTCAGAGAAACAGAAAGGAGGCCTCGGCCTGAGAAGAGGAACAAGGACTAACTGCAGATGGTCTCCAGGAGCTGAGGAATTTTGCTGAGGTGGTAAAATATTTTAGAACAATGTGGTGATGCTGTATGCATCCACCCATATAAGTTGAATATGAATTGTACCCTTAAAATTGGTGAACTTTAGAGTAAGTTATATCGCAATAAATGTCAAAAATATCCATGAATTCATGTGTTGAAATTTAATCCCACCTGTGATTTATCACATGGGTGGAGTTTAATGCAATAGTGTTTAGAGGTGGGCCTTTGG